GGAAGGCAAAAAAAAAAACTGCAGCAAAACTTGTCGTGGGCCACGTCTCCTACCTGTCAGCTGCCCGCTATCCCTCTCACCCACACGATGCATTTTCTAATTGGTCGTTACCAATAGTCCTGCAATGGCAGGACTGTTAGTCACCTGTTTTTCCGCAAGCAGGAAGGAACATCCCTCATCATCTAGAGGCACGAATAGAGGGCATTCTCTGGCTTTATAAATGCAAAGAGAAAGGACACATGGAACGTGCAGACAGAAATAAAAACAAAGAACGTGAACATAAACAAAGAGAGAACTGAGAGACCAGAGGACAAAGAGAGAACAGGAGGTGGAGGTGAAAACACGAAAAGCTAGAGAGACTTTTGGCAAGGGAATTCCTATTTCTTTTCCTCAGACGAGATTGCAGACTCAGCCAAATCAAACATACAAACAAAGGATCAAAAAGAGAGACAAACAGAAAACGAATGAAAACATAAAGAAGAAGAAAAAAAAAAGAACAAGAACAAGAACAAGAACAAGAACGGAAAAAGAGAGAACCCAGAGAACCAAAAAAAGGGCAAGAGACAGATAGGAAACGAAGAGGAAGAAAAGGACATTGTCTGGCCAGAGCTACGTGATCATCACCATCATCTTCGTCTTAATAATTCATGAATGTTATCCAACAGTGCCAGCTCGGCTCGTTTGTTCTTTTTCTTTAAAAATTTTAAAGATCATCGTGATATTAGATATCCAATATTTTTAATATGCAGAGAATATATGTAAGGTATATTTTAATATTAAAATTAAAAAAAATAATTTTTTTTAATATACGAAATTATAAACTTATATATAAGACATAATTTTTATATTAAATAAAAAGATAATTTATCTTATTTGTTTTATATTAACATTAGAATGGTTAGGTTTTTAACTTAATAAAATAATATTTTTTTTATTAAATAGAAATTTTTTTAAATATTAAATAAACCAATATTTAAAAAAAATATATTTTTTTAATTTATATCAGATAAATAAATAGTATAACATATTTAAGATAAAACATAATAGAGTAGTTGTTAACTTTTTTTTACATAATTAGTTTTTTTATCCCGACTTTAAAACTAATTAGAATTTTTAATAATAAAAATATTAAGAGGTAACTTTTTTTTTCACTAATAAAAAATAAAAATTTCTTATCTTTCTTTACCTATATTATTCGGAGCAATTCTAATTTAAAAAGGTGATCACCGAAACACCGTATATGCAACTTTCTGAACTACCATAAAAAATTTCAGTGTTCAAATATTCTAATATATATATGTGTGTGTATTATGAGCCAAAACACCTGTTTATAATACGAGGAGGGATAATTATCTCTATTTTATAGTTTACGATCTTTAAGATCTTTCAATGAACCAAAAATTAGTTAATCGCGCATGAAAGTCTAATCTGGCAAGCGCAATTAAGAACGATATTATTTTTTAAAAAAAATATTACAACACGTCTTATTAATATTAATATAATTTAACAAAATAAGTTATTACACTACTTCGAAACATCGCCTCATACAATGAAAATGCTCTGAAACTGGATAGATAGCTAATAAATAGTACAAACCTTGCACTTATTCTAGCTATAAATCCAAATTCAGTAAACATAACGGAAGAGGCTAATTAAGATGGATAATTAAACGAGACACCAACCACCAATATTATTAGTACAACAAGAAAGAAGAAAGATGAACTAGACTGGCAGCAACAATGGTAATGGTGGATAGAACTGCAGATAAGGCAGCATGATTATTTGGCATAGATGTTGGAGGAGAGCTTGAGCTTCCATTTCCAACAACAATGGTAACCTTCTGACCAAAATCGCAGTGCATTCCAATGGTGCAAATATAGTAATACGTTCCATCTTTTGTTAACTGAAAGGTTGCAGGACTGGTATCTTTAAGTATTCCATTTGTTTTAGCACAGGCATCGTACTCGGTCTTTGTGGTTACCTCCAAGACATTATGTGTGTCTGTCCAGTTGAATTCTGAGGCGTTGAAAAAGAAAGAGTTAGAACTTAATTTGCTACTAAGCAATTATGAAAAGTTATATATACTGATTAATTGAAGTAAGTTGACCACGTAGCTTTGATTAATTTTTTGAAATATTAATTGTGTGACCGAAGTCAAACATGAAAGGGGAGATTTTATTTTTATTTTTTTCCAACAATAGAATATGTATTAATCTTTCAATTTCTCTACATCTTTGAGTCGTACTATATGATATTCCATAATTTTTTTTTATTTTTTCAAAGGACGGGTCATGGCCCGGAATTCAGCTAAAAAAATGATATTTTGTCTCCCTTCAAGCTTATGGTATAAGAATAAACGAGTGTCACAAGGGAAGATAGAAGAGGTGGCTAGGGACGAATTCAGATTTAGTAAAGTGGAAGGGTCAGAGAGTATAATTTCAATTTTGAAGGAATCATTTTGGAAGTTATTTACGACATTTTAATTTTTACAAGTTCTAGGGAGGATTTTAAATTTTTTTCAACTTTTAAGGGGGCCAGGACCACCCGGACTCCCTTTTCAATCTGTCCCTTCAGGTGGTCCTGATGAACTCGGAAAAAAAGAAGTTATGGGAGTTATCTAATTCTAAGAATGGAGAGAGAATTCTCCAGCATTGATGTTCGGTAGACAATTTCTTCTCTCTTTTACCTTTTGAAAAAGCACAAAGCTTATCTTTGATTCCACTTTATACAATTTACAACGGACATAGAGCACGCAAAATAAATATTTTGTTATAATTAAGCCAATGACTTAATTTACTGGCATCAACTTGGAAACCCAGTTGAAGAAGAGAAACAAAAGGTAAGTTGCATATAGTATGAAGGTGCATGTAACAGAGCATGGAAAATATGTAAGATTAACTCAATAATTTTTCCATCCATACATTTCTGAATACTCTGTACGTTTCATAATCATTGATGAGCTATCACCGTTTCCCTAGCTAGCTAGTTAATGAGGACATGACATGATTAATCAAGCTCGATAAAACTAATGTTGAACTAGTTCCTAGATAAATAAACATATCAAAGAAAATTAAGAGAATCATATATATGCTTACCTAATGAATCTCCAACCTCAAATTTCTTGCCACCAACCCAGTTCTCATAGTAAGATTTATTATCAGGAACTCTCCAACCACCATCATCTCCAACTTTGTATTTTGTTTCTGAGGTTGCTCCCTCTAGTAAAGCCACAGCAATGATCAAGAACACGATCCAGTCTATCCTAATAGCCATATTCTGTGTTCAACAGATCGACCCTGGAGGCAAAAGCAGACAGTGCTCTCTCTTCTTTATGTGGAGTGGGGGATAACTATATACTATATGTGACGGTTAGGGATTGATAATAAGATGACAATCAGGCAAAAGCTGGCAAAGGCTTGTCCACCACATACCGCTTATGGTCCTTGCTTTCTTAGAGCAATCGGATAACAATTAGGGTACGTACGTAAAGCTTAACTCATTGACGATTGAACGCTGCCGACTAATGTGAATTACTAGTAGGGGTTCAGCTCGCATCTATAAATTTGACCCTTTTGATTATCTGCTACAGCGTGCAAACTTGGCGAGGGACATATATGCATCGCTAAAAAAACACTTGCATATAAGCCATGTAATTATCCTGTAATTTTCAGTAAGAAATGTGAATTCAGGGATATGATCTACAAAATACATCTTGCATTGTTATTTCAATTCCAAATCCATAAAGAAAAGGAGAAAAAAACAAAACAAAACAAAACAAAATAAAGAAACTAAATGAATTATTGGGCCTTGGCCACAAACAAAATCAATTCAAACAATTCCCATGGGGGATTTAAGTGTGTGTGTATGCCGAATTGTACCACATCACTCAAACATTGGGTCATGACTTAGATACCGGAAAGATCCGGTGATAGCCCAACCAAGATTCAATATAAAGAAACAATTAAATAAAGTGGTTTGCATCAATGTAAAGTATCATTCACAATAATATTTTTTATTTATTTTGATTCTTAAATATATTTTTTTCATTGATTAAGTCCTTTAATTTCAAAATTAATAACCAATTGTTTTCTATTTGTTGATCAGACAACAAATTGAAAGGATTATAATCAAGGTGAAATGGAGCCAAAACTCATTGGTATATTCGAAGTTGATGTAAAAGTTCACTTTAGTTCTCTAATTTACAAATTAATACCTTTTCAATCTTTTTTTTTCTAATTTAATTTTGGTATAAAATATAATTTTATACAAAAATTCACTTTAGTCTGTATTAATTTGTTAGCATCAAGTATACTTCATAGGGATATGTTACAAATCATGTTATCTATCAACCTGTTAATATAAAAAGAACAAGTATTAGTTTCATGCATACATATTTAAAGAAAATATTTTGTTGCAAATGAATATGATATTAAGGAATTATTCATAAGTAAAATCATAATTCTTGATATATGGATATTCCATATAAAAAGGAATATTTTGTTATATAAAAGTAGAAATGATGTAGATTATTCAAGAATTAAAGTTGATTTTCTTTATAAAAA